TAATAGCAAATATAATATACTATGCTATTCAAAATAATAGAATACATAGTGCTGTCCAACTGGCAGCCTGCAAGGGGTTTAATTGTGGTCCCTGGGCACCAACTTGGCTGTCGCTCCCCACATTGCTCTGGCTGCAGTAGCAACAGAGGGCTCCAGACTCCCTTTCCCTCCAGCTTCCTCTTCCTGCCCCTGCTACTGGGGCAGAAAGGGGCAGGGTGGTGGGATCTGTTCCAGGGGAGCCCACAGCCAAGATGCCTGAGTGGTAAGGTGAAGCAGGGGAGCTTGCCACTGGAGAGCTAAGGATGAGAAGGGGCATGAAAAACAGCAGAGGGGAGGCACCTCGGCTCAGGGTGGAGCAGCAGGCGCACATGGGATGCAGCAGGGAGAGGAGTTCGGACACACGGTGCAGCAGAGGTGGGGACATGAAGCCCCCATGGCACATGGACTCTGCTGGTGTGGCTTCTGCTAGGGTGGCATGAGGGGTGCTCTGTATCTTCCCACAGAAAGAAAAACAAATCAAGGCTGGTTTACACATGCTTGAAAGCAAGGGAATTTTCAATGAAAGTATCTTTAATTTCATTACTTAATTCCCACTCATCAGGCTCAGTGCTTTAATTATAGGCCCTGCCCCTTTACAAATGTCCCTTACCCCTGCAATATGCACACATACACGTACCCATTCCTCAGTGTTGCACTAGAATGCAAATCAATAACCCCTGTGACATCAACAAGCATGCCTTAGGTGCCAGCGTACCAGTAAATTGGTACTGGGTTTCTTTAGAAAGTGGATCTAATGCACCTTCTTTTTTTACAAGTGCTTTGGGATCTGTATACAAATAGTGATGTATATTAATAAGTTGATTTTTATTGTTAGATAAAGCTACATGTAAGCTATGAACTCTCAAAATATCAATTAGAAAGTAAAAACAAAACAAAAAAGGATTTAGAAGCAGCATGTTCTTGCAAATTCAAGAGGAGGTTGGATGATCACCTGTCTGGGGTCTTGTAAACCCAACATTCATTCCTGCCTGTGGCAGGGGGTCAGGCTAGATGATCTGTTCAGGTCCCTCCTGACCCTAGGTACTATGAAACTATGAAACTATGTTTTATCTTTAACTTTACAAATCCTTGCACTGACATTTTTCTTCATATTCCCTAATGACAGATATTAACTTCATGAATCTGTGTGTTCCTAAACCAGAACAATGCAAAATCACAATATATATATATATATATATTTTATTAATGAATTCCTAGTATAGCCTCACGCAGCGGTAAGCAGGACTGTGCAAGAACAGCAAATCTTTCCTGTATCTTTGGGCCAGGGTCAGCTAATTCAACTCTACTCCTCCTTACCGAGTGAAATAAAAGATACCAGCAAAAGCGCAGTTCTGCAGTTATGACTCTGCCTCCAGTAGGAGTTTCTGCCGGCAAAGCTGTGCTGGAACAAACCCACCCACCACCTTGCCCTTAACTGATGTCGTTCGTTGTGCTGGCAAAATGCTAGTGTAAACCTCTCTTTAGTACTGCCATTGTCCTCTGCTAATGAATTTTTTTTCTAAATCTCTAAAAGGTGACAGTTACGCTACGCATTTTTATTGTTCATCCTCATTTCCCTTGTGTAACAATCCCTTCTAGCTTGACAACAGTATAATGCAAAATCAAACAGTCAAATTTCTCTTGGAGTACACGTCAACATGCATGCTGAGGCTGGGGGCTGGGAAAGGGGCATCATAACTGTTAGAGTAGGTGTAAACTTCTCAAAGGACTGGGAGCCCTGGAGCCAATGTAAATCAAGAAATAATTTGGGTGGCTGGAATATAGCTCCTTTGTGGTCGAGTTTGGAATATATAAAAATATATTCCATTAGAAGATTCTGTGAGATTTTGCTCCCCCTCACCACTGCTATGAGCATAATTCAAACTAAATGAATCTGCCTGCAGTTTCAGAGATGTGATTTTATGCTCACGTAAAACTTTTGGGGAGAAAAGATGTTTTGGAGATAAGAAGTGACCCTCACTCACATTATCTAACCTAGGGAATGCCTGCATTAGGAGCAATATTTTATACAAGTGTTCCTGATGGGGACTTGGTTATACTGACAAAGGTGTACTTTGCCCACAGATAGTGCCATTTCCAAGCAAAACAAGCCATACTCTTAAAAGCACAGGGTTTTTTTTCAGTCATTATTGTGTCTATGCTCAGAGTGTGTGATGACATAGTTGTCAGTCAAGGGCTCACACTTTTTAACACCTGTGATTGATGTTGCTATGCTGGGAGAAGTTGATAGGGTAGGCATGGCTGAAGTTTGGGCTAAGGAAATAAACTCTCATTTTTTCAGTCTCTAAAAGGCGGCTCTGGACACATGCTGTCATGAGTAGTTCTGTGGTTTTCAGTGGGTGGGATCCTGCAGAAGCCGAAGGGGCAACTTGATATAGAGGCCTACTTCTCCATAATATGTGTTTGAATGAATGGGTGCACATAATTAGTGTTGTGCTAATCATGAACAGGCAGGGATACTTGACAGTCCAAGAGCTATGGTGACTTCCATCTGTACTTTACAGTTTATATTGCTGAAAATATTACTTCAGCTGATTTTTTTTTGTTCTGTTTAAAGTACTGACAGTCAAAAACTATATATTATGTGTACAAGGCATGGTTGCATCCTTGGATGTTAACATAATAAACATAATATAATAATGTGGGGGAAAACGCCCGCACCTCAGCCATCCATCTTTAGTCCTTCTACTTTTCTGCATAAAGTAGGGGGAGGCTCTCTTCTCTTAAGCCTCCTTCCATTATTGTATTGGAGCATGTAAGCAAGCTAAACCGTTGCTGAGAGGCACTTTGAAGTGGTGTAAAGTGCATGTGAATCAGATGTCCCCTCAAATTTCTACCATTTAGAAAATACACACAAAATGCATTTCCATGCACAAATACGTGTTTGCATGCAAATATCTAACTGCATGGGATTACATGTATACAGTCTCCTTTTTCCTCCCATGGCATTTACTCTGCAGTATTTGAAGTTTGGCACCTCTCTTCCTTCTTAGATATGTCCTGTCATATGACGCAACCCTCATGGTCTAGGCCAGTGACCTTTTTCCATTTTTATGAATCTCATTTTTTATTTTTCCATTGATTGGCTTTTTAAGGCAAATGTCTTCCTGCTTTGCATGCTGTTTTATCTTTTAAGGTTCTGAGGATTTTTTTTGGTCCTGCTCTTCACAAGGAAGCAAGAAGTGTGACAGAAAGGTGTGATTTTTAATTTACACCAGACTTCTCAGCAAATAATGACTTTTCACACCCTGTTATTGCTGCTTAGCCTAGGGGGAGGAGTTGTATGGCTACTGTTGTCATATCAAATTAAATCCACTCTTGTAATTCGGAAAGACATTCCTTTTTAAATTAACCCTTTTCGGTTTTTGAAGGAATTGCTAGAGAATATTTTGAAGTTCACCTGCTGCATACAACCTATATTTTGGGTAAATTTCACACTGAAGTGAGAAAAATGTAAATTTTTTTTTTAAGTATAATGTGAGAGAGGGTTTGTTTGTTTTTTCATTTGATGGCTCTGCTCCTCCAGTGAGCTTCCTGGGGACACACGCTCATGCTGATATGGAATTTATTGCAAGATCAAGGCCTACGTGTGTCATCTAAGGTAGGAAATCTAATGTGGCTGATGGTCCTGGAAGGAACATGATTGGCTCATCTGAAAGGTTCTCTTGAATCAGTAAATGCAATATTTCTACTCACAAAGCAATTATTTCAACTCTTTGAGAATTACCTCGGAATTCAGTTGGCTGTGTATCTTCCATGCACCAGAGCCAAATTACACTAGGATGGAAGATCAACAAGAAAAAGCACACATGTGGCAAAAGTTTCTCACTGTAAAACAGTCATAAAGGTGAAGGGCCAATTTCCCCTACAAGTCTTTGCGATGCAATTGTTTAATTTTTTTTAATGTGCTGCTAATTTCAGAGTAGTTCAAAACCCAGATTAAAAGCAGATTAAGCCAGGCAGTAAGCATAGATTTAAGAATCTTGTACTCAAGATGTGGAGGGATGGATTCTGAGGTTTCCAAGCTGTAATGAAATGAAACCGTTTTTCTCGTCTCAAGGCCTTGTCTGTATGCTAGTCTTGCTAGTCTACAACCAATGATTGACTTGTGTGTCATTTACAACAAAAAGATTGGTTCAGACAACCCGTTCAAAGAAATAATATTTATATGGCATCAAAGTCTTTGGGTGGAGAAGTCAGGCAATCTTACAGCAAAATCAGAGGAGGAGCTGAGTTTTCTCAGTCCCATGACACTGGAATTGAATACTCCTGGGATTGGACTGTCTTGATACCCTCTGTTCCATGTATTATGCATTTCATAGGGATAGTCTGAGTTTGAAGAGTATGAATAGCAATTAGCAAAACCAGCTCCCCACCCTTCATTTTTCAGAAGCTTTTATTTCCCCTTATTGTTTGTGATCAAGAGTTAATTGTTCACTCCACCAGTTGCTTGGTAGTGTAGAGAGGGTTAATGTGCTCGATTTACTATAACATATATGTGGCAGACTCTTATCTGGTTTCTCTTTTTTTCTTTCTGTAAAATGTCAACCATTTCCTGATGAGCAGGGTGGTGGTGAATTTCACACCTTTCTCTTCTCTGTGTGGAAACCTGGGTGTTAATGGTACAGGATCAGGTCGCATTTTATGTTATAAAGAATGAGGCAGTCTGTTAGAACAACACAAGGAAGGCAGGGAGGAAAGGAAGGGGAGGTGAAGAAAGAAGAAATCAGAGAATTTGCTGTTTGAAACAGCATTAGTTTAGTTTTATTTCTTGATACTTAACCTAGTTTTACTCAGCACTTATAAATGTAACATTTTGTGATAGAAACCTAGCTTTCTATAGAGTTTTGGAGTTAAGCATAAATATAATCTGGACTCAAGCATAAAAATAATCTTCTAATTTCATTCCACAGTGGAATTTACTATTGCAACACCAGAAGATGGAAAGTTGGTCAGTTGATCAAGTCTGCAACTGGTTGATTCAGAGAAATTTAGGAGAATTAGTTCCTAAATTTCGTGGTAAGGTGTTTGTGGTTTGTCTGCTTTTATTGTTTATTAACTTTTTTTTTTGTAAACAGCTTTCCTCCTCTCTGCCTTAAAAAACATAAAATGTATATTTTTTTACACTAAATTGTTTTTTTGATATGGAGGGTAGTTATCTGTTATAGAATAGCTTCAGCTTTTTATAGAATTTGAGAGAGAACTGATTCAGGCCGGATAAATCAAAAGGAGTCTAAAGATCTATTAAGAAGCCTAAAAGAACTAGTGTGTGAGACTGAAATCTATAAATAAGTACACCTTCTAGGAACAAAATTGTAGGTTTATCAGGATATGTTTAGGCCTATTTAATATTGCATGAGTCTATTTGAAATGGTGCATCTTTAATATGTAAATGTTTTATCTGTGAATATATGAATGCTCTACAAAGGATTGAGGAGACTGGCATTCAGGCATATTGTGCTAAAGCTTTTCCTCATTAAAATATCAGTATGTTCTGATCCAAGCAAATAAGCCTGTCTGAAAGTACTAAAATAGTTAGTTAGTTTTGTGCAAACTTCATGTTCCAGATTCAAATTCTTGTTACTAGCCAACAACCTGTAGAGAATTTTAATTCCTTAGCATTTTGGAAGAGACATTTAGCAATAAATTGCTTATTTTGGTATGATCCACGTAGGAGAATTTCAGCGGTAAAAAGCAGTTTTGTCTTGGAGATTCACTCGCCTTCTATCTTCATGGTGCATTCAGAATCTAACAATAAAGTAACATGACTTTTTCTTTCTCTTTAATATTTAGAGGAAGAAGTGAGTGGAGCAGCTCTTTTGGCTCTGAATGATCGTATGGTGCAGCAGCTAGTAAAGAAGATTGGGCATCAGGCAGTACTAATGGATCTGATTAGCAAATACCACCAACGAAATCATGAATTAGAATCCCTTACTTACAGTTGTGACACAGCCCCTCCAACATCTCCAGAAGCAATCAGTGGGTGAGTTGTCATGAAAGAGTAATTATGATTCTGTTTAAGTACAGTTTCCTGTTAATAATTTAACACTAGCATTCAATATTTCTGTAGCTGTAAGTTTAACTTTTTAAATATTTTGATCCTAGATGGAATGCATGTTCAGTGTTATAAATGCGTATTACTGCATGGTTTTTATGAACATTCCTGAACAAATTGTTCTAGGTGGGACTGATAGCTGCATTTACGAAATTCGCCCAGTGTTTCCTTTATAAGATGTGTTTTCATTTGCTTATAACTTTGCCAAACTTTAACCACATGGACTGATATTTTCCAAAATGGATGTCTGCCTCTGACTGAAGTTTTCCAGAGAAGTACAATCAAAGAGCTTAAGCTATTTCCAAATATAAGGCTAGGGAAAAATGCATTAGTACCCTTATGCTTTGGAGTGGGGTCTTGAAATCTTACAAGGAGGTAATCTTTGTTCCATATATATTTCCTTTTTTGAGATCTTTATAAAATCTACCCACATTTGCTTTAAAAAAAATCAGACCTTGACCAAGCTCAGAAAGGACTTTATGATTTTTAGAAGCTTTGGGAAGAGTAGGCTGGGACAAGAAGCCCTGGAGGAAGTACGACTGGAATTTTAAGGTGGCAAAGAGAAGGGAGAGAAACTGAGAATAGGAAGGGGAACCTGTAGGAATTAAGAAGTGTAATGTAATAGGTGATGGGTGTTTTGAACTAGTGTGAGTAGGGACCTGGAATTGGATATAGGAAGGTTACACCAGTGCTTAACCTGTCATGTCTCTCCTCCGATTTTTAATTTCATGATCACATACTCTCTTTTCCACAGGATGCCTGCCTCAATCAGTATATCAGAAGCACCTGCTTCAAGGATGGAGCAAGGCCGAGCAGTGAAGTCTATTGTCAGTGGGGCTCCTGTTTCATTTGCTGCAGAAGCTGGAAGGTGTGTAGCAATTGCAGTAGAGAATTGCAAAAAGGGAAGGGATGGTCTCTTTATTAAGGCAGCTGAATGCTGCCCTGGAGAATTGGATTCTGTCTGTGCCAGTGCAGTAGAGTTCCTACACAGTGCTAGAACTTCTGTAGTATCACAAGCAATAAAACTTTCATCTTTTTTTCCCTTTCTACCACCACATATTTCTTATATGGATACTATTCCTAGCTGACTTGCAACTCCTAGATTTCTTCATCCTGTTCATTTTCCAAGGGGCACCAGATGAGACAGCAGGAGTTCTGACAGCCAGGGGGTTGTACTCAGTCTAGCATCTGCCTTGATTGGGTACCAGAATGAGAAGTTGTAACTATATGAACATGAGGTGTTGGACCAGTTTCACATCCAGCATTTCTATTGAAGCCCCTGAAATTTTGAATTGGGACTTGGATACTGGCTTAGAGCTTTAGGTTTCTTGCTAATTATAAGGTCAAAATGCACCAGGAAGTGCCATAGGACCTGACAATTTTGCATGGTGTCTCCACGGCTGCGTGAGTGAACAGTCTAGTGCAGGATTTCCAAAGTATGACCCACAAGCCAAAGGCAGCCTATGAGTCTTTTGATGTGGTCCACCACCCAGGACCGCTATTTCAAAATGGCATTCCCTCCACTGGGAAGAGGCTGGCACAGCCCCTGGCCCTGAGCCCACAGTAAGCAGCCCATCCTCACCCTGCACAAAAATCTGGAGGGGCACATGTCCCTCATTCCTCCCCCAATGGTGCACATAGCTGTGGGGAGCTGCCCCACCTCCCCACCCCTCCGGATGAGCCACCCATGACTCTATCCTGCTCCCAGGGTCACATTCACTACCCTAGCTGGGCAGTGCCTGCCCCTACCCCACTCCCTCCCTCACCATGGGGACCTTGATCTCCCACCCCAGCACAATCCTTTCCTCCCCATGCCCCCTCCCCCCACAGATTTAACAGCTGGGTGCTGCACTCCAAGCTGCCAGGATGCATTTCTGTAAATCAGCTATTGGATCGTATCAACTGATATGGCTTGTTAATAATTGGCCATCAGTATCAGCCAAGAAAATCTTTATCAGTGTACCCCTACTTAAAATCATGACTGTTCAATTAATTCATGGAAAATCACTTTGTATTTCTGCAGTTAAAATTATGGATTTCTAAAATTTCTCTCTGTACAATGGCTGTCCAACTGGCAGCTGTTGGAGGGTTAATATGTAGCCTTTGAGCTCCAGCCTGGCCAACACTGCCCCCACCATTGCACCTATCTTGGCAGCTGGGTTCTTTGGGCTCTCCCACCCAAAGAACCACTCTCCTCTGGCTTCTACTTCCTTTGTCCTCTCCTGGGGGCAGGATGACACAGCAGAAGGAGGCTGCGGTGGGATGGGGGTGAGGGGGTCTTAGGATCATAGGAAAGTAGGGCTGGAAGCAGACAGGGGTGCTGCAGTTGTGGTGGGGGGAGCCAGACTGCCCATATGGCTATGGGGTTGGGGGCAGGAGTTGGGCTGCATGCCCAGTTGGGAGGGGAGTGGGGAGGCGGACTGCCTGCACAGCAAGTGTGGGAGGAGCCGTGCTACCTGTTCTGTGCCTGCAGTGGGGAAGAGTTTCCTGAGCTGCCTGTTCAGTGGGGGAGAGCCCAGGGGAAGCTGCCAACATGGCTAACAGCCCCTGGGCTTATGGCCCCCATCTGCCCAGAAGCTGGACAGCTCTACTTCTTATAATTTTTGTGAAATGTACAGCTCATCAGTGAAAAACCTTCTCTTCCAGGACTAATGATGTGCAAGTGTTCAATCCCTTTGGTCCTACAGAGAAGACCCTTTATTTTTCTCCAGCAGAAAATAAAGAAGGATTAATTGACCAAAGAGTCTTAAAGCATAAGTGAGTTAATAGAGCATTTGCTAACTTACAGTTGTTTTGAAAGTGATGTTAAATGTTTGTTTCTAATGCTGAGACTATGCAGTTATTTCTTGTTGTTAGGACATCTTGTATGCTCGGTTACAGAAATTATCCAATCTGTTCCTAAATACTGAAGGACAACTCTGCTCTCAGGTATACTGATGTAATTCCCAGAGAAATAAGTAGGAGTTGAAATACAGTTATGTTAGGGACAAAAGGGAGTCCTTGTTTAACAGTGAAGTGAGTAGGTTAGATTTTTTTTCAACACTTCTAGCTTTCTGCAGGAGAGCAACAGTTTCAGAAGACTGTGCTTTTCTTTTTCTTTTTTTTTGTTAAATAAAACCCAATATTGGCAGAATTCTGTAGAACTGAAAACTGCTCCTGCAATGTTCTGACTTGCTTCATGGAGATTAGCCTTCTTTTATTAAGGGCTAAGCTTCTATGGGCTAGAATCTTGCACATGGGCAGTTATGACAAAACAGCTGACTTATAATGAAGCCCTGCCTTTATTTATATATATATATATATATATATTGCACCATGGTAAATTGGATGCATGTCCATACCCTTAGTTTTGCCTTTATAGACATTTTAGCTCTGCCAAGATTTATACAAGGACATTTCCCTGAAGGACAATGTACTGTAATATTCCTTTAAAAAAACAGAAAGGGTGGGGACACATCTATTAGGAACCAGGAAGAAAGGTAAAAATAAATCAAATAATGACAACCTTAAAAAAAAAAGAAAAGAAAACGTAATGGTTTGTCACTTGAGAAGACCCTTATTTAACTAGGAAATAACTCACAAGTCCTAAACCCTAAAATTTCACTGGCACTTTCAGCATGTTCCTATCAGAAGATAAACTATATATAACTTAGAGTATAACTTTTCCAATAAACCATAATAGGTGTTTGTAACTTCCAGGATCCATTTATTTTTAATGATGAATAATTTTATCTTATGTTTAATGATGGGTAATTTTATCTTGGGCTGCACACTCTTAAAATGGGTTATGTGAATCACCATAACCCAGAATAGACTAGCTCCAGAAAACATCTTCACTGCTACAGTGTGCAGCTTTCAAAGACCCCATAGCTAGTTAAGGGTTACAATTTCTTGATCCATGCTTTCTTTGACTTAACAACAGTTTCACATGTTGAAGCATACACTATGCAAAATGGATTCACTTGAGGGCTACTGGTATATATACTGGGTTCAGAGGAGGCAACAACTGTGAGTATATGTCTTCATTGTTTGACGATATAACTACAAACTATGACCCATTTGCTTGGAAGGTCAGAATGAGAAGCTAGCATATAGATTTTGCCTGACTAAAAAAAAAAAAGAGAGAGTTAAAATTGGGGTAGAAAGTGTTACTTAATGGACATAGTACATCCCACTAAAGTAGTGATCTTTTACAGACACAAGATGTTTACTGCAGAGTTGCCTAATTAGCTCCACAGTAAAACATCACTGTCTACATGTGTGGTGCTATTAGGACAGAGTAAACTAATTAACTCTGCCATAGGATAGTACTGCCAAATACAAGTACTATCCTATGGCAGAGTTATTTACTCTGCCACAGTGCAGGTGTGTAACAATGGGGCAGCCAAACATACCTGTCTCAGCAGGGGAGAGTCCCTGGAAGCATAACAAGTTGTTGGTGGAGAGTAGCCAAATGCCCAGTAGGGCAGGAGGCAGTTAGTATTTACCTGCAGGTGTAGAGCCGACAGCGATGACAGAGCAATTGGTGCCACTACAGCTGTTTATAAGCACCTACTCCCTGCAGGTCTGGCAGTGCTCTGGGAGTGATATCATGAGCCCACGACCTGGCCCAGCCAGTAAAAGGGAAGCAGGGCTGTACAGAGAGGGCAGAGAGAGCACCACGGATACAGCAGACCCATAAACTTTGAAGCCGGCAGGGAGCAGGGTGGTATCCACAGCCTGGAGACTTGGAGAGGTTTGCAGCCAGCCGGTGGCCCGGGATCACCCAGGGAGAGACTCCCTGTGGACCCTGGCACCCAGGAACTGGGAGAGAAGCGTGCAAGTCAGGCAGCCGCTGGAGCCTGGAGATCCAGGCGTGATGAAGACACTGCCACCTTTTATTTCCTTCTTCCTCAAGAGATATTTGATATTGATGTAGAAGTTGCAGATTCAGCAAAGGGGGCATGGACTTAAAGGCCCTGAATTGATAGTCTGCTCACAAGTTGATTTGAGCAGAGGGGATTAATTGATGTTTGATTTTGAAAACCCACAAAATTGATTATAGACCGAATTAATTAAAGGAAGCCCATGGATTAATCGGTGTGATGTTAATGTGGGGTGACCCCTGAGTTAATTGGTTGCAGCTGACCCAGGATTGCATTTGGACTTTATTGTTCTAAGTAAATCCAGGAATTAATTAATTTTTTGTGAAGCTGGATTAAAACCCCATGGTTTACGTGACAAGAATAGTGAAGACCTGTGGGCCAAAACTGATTGAGGACCAGGCATCGCCAGGGCACAGGTGTGTGCCATCAACATCAGACCAGGGTAGTCTGTGAGCAGGACTGCTGACACCATCATGAGCTTGGTTGGCATGTGGATGGGGTGAAAGGAAGGAAGAACCCCAGGAGCCTCCATAGCATGAGTGCACTCACAAAGGTACTGATAACATCTCAAGACCAAGGCATGGCAAGAAAGTTGAAGAAGGTACCCCGTGCACAAGTCACATTGCCACCCTCCTGTGTGGGTGTCCGCTTCACAACTTGTAGACACTGATGGTGCTGCCTGGGGCATGAGGGTACTTCATGTAGGAGCTGCCTGCTGGCCCAGCCAGACCCTCTGCAGTGCATTGAGCTGGGCTTGAGCAGCCCTGGGCTGGCAGGCTGACCCCCAGAAACCCCTGCCAGCCACAGCTGCTGTGCCCTGGCCCAATATGATGCAGTCCTGGGTGCACATGTAAATAGAGCAATAAACTCTAGCACAAACTGCAATGGAGTTTATTCAATCACCTTAATAGCACACGTAGATGCACCCTGTGGTATTAAAAATATGTAAGTTTGGGATACGCAGTGAGATTACATTTTTTCCTGAAATGATAACTGTTGAATTTTAGGTGATAGTCTTGACATTTAATGTGCAGAGGCCTGAGGTGTTTATGCTGGCTGTATACAAGTTGCTAAGGGGCAGAACAAGATGTATGCTGTAGAACAGGAGTCAGCAACCTATGACCCAAAAGCCAGATCTAATTCGCAAAGCCTCGATCTTGCACAGGAAATGGTAGCATGGAGCTGCACCATGCTGCTGCTCCTGTCTATTTTGGAGCCCACTGCTCTGCTATGTCTGTGCTGCCATTGCTGCAGAGGGGTGAGGAATCTGCAGCAAGGGTGAGTGCAGGCAGCTAGCCACTGTGGGGGGCAGAGAATTCCAGCCCACAGCCACAGATGAGTTGCAGCCTCCGTCCTATGTCAGCAAAGGCCTGCCAACCTCTTTTCTAAAAGCTTCTATTAGCAGAACAGAAAAGCTGATAAACTAGTATGGGTGGATCTTTGGTTGGTGTGTAAGTAAAATAGAAGGCAGGGTAGATTTGCACCTTATAGATTAATCAAAGTAAATCTATATCTTTCGCTGTAGATACTAGATATAGATATATATAGCATAAGGTTTCATGAGCAGAAGCTCACTTCATCAGATATTGTGAAGGACGTACAGAAAGCAGCATCTGATGAAGTGAACTTCTGCTCACAAAAGCTTGTGCTAATATATATATATATATATATGCAATTAATATATTTGGTTAGTCTATAAAGTGAAAATCTACCCTGTCTTATAGTTGACTGCAGACTAACACAGCTAACTAAGTCTCTTTCTGCTCATGGTAGTAAAATCCTGGGCTGGGCTGGGCTGGGCTGGGCTGGTGGAGAGGATGGAAGTATGGAATACATATCCTGAAGGTTCCTTTTTCACTCCCGGGGGAACTTATACGTGGTATATTTGGATTTATCCACCAAAGTAGGATATGTTAACATGTATTCAATTATTAAACACTTAAAAAAAAAACTTGAGATCAATAATGGCTACTTTTTTGGTAATTCACCATAATGTTAATTTGATAATTTTTCCAGTGTTTTTGGCCTTGGTTTTCTTGTAACTTTTTATCATCTAGTGATGCATTTGTTACTTTTATGCTACAGACTTGAAATAGTGTAAACAGCATAGCAATGTAGACAAACCAATCCATGCACCAGCTGTTCTATGGTAGCTGCTTGTGTACATGCTCTTACCCCGCAACGAACAAAAGCTAAAACTGTGGCAGCTTAACTGTCAATGCAACAGAATAGGTGACTTGTGATAAATCCTTGCTTTCTTTATCTTAAAGTAACTTTTTCAAGTTCCCGTACCCTTAACCCATGACAGCTTTCTTTCATTGAGGGGTATGCTGTCTTTCATTTACCTTGCAGTAAGAGCCTGCACAGTGTCTCTGTTGACACATGATAAAGCCCCATCATTCTTTGTGTCTCAGTAATTTGTTCATGTGCCCATGCCCTAGCAATGTCCATGTGGAGAGTTATAGAAACTACAGCACTATGAATTCACACTGTATTTTTTCCCTATGTAGGAAACTCCTAAAAGCCTCCTTCAAAGTATATTTCTCAGTATTACAGAGAGGTCAAGAGAGACCATCATCAACTTGATCATTTAAACATAAAAATAAGGGTTAAGAGCAGCATGCCTCATATACTTTACCCTCTCTTCCACTATTGAAAAGAAGCACCAAACTGCATTGTGAACTCATAGTCAGAAAGGAATCTGCAGGCTGTGATGGCAGAATCCTTTTCAGTAATAGGTCAAGAACAAATAAATCAATAGGGAGACTGTTCTTGTTGAGCACTCAAAGTAAAGGTTAAAGCTGTAGTAAAGCTCTTCTCTGAAATAACCCACATAACATACAAAAATGCTCTGGTGAATATTTTCCATATCTGCTTTTCTGTCTCTAAGCA